TACCAACCCTTTCCTACAAAATACCCTGTTCCTTCTGAGTTTCCTTAACTTTGCCTTCTTTAACTCCGTTTCTAAATTAACTGTATTAATTATCTGAAGTTCTTTATATCTTAAAGCTTCAATTTCCAATACGAATTTCCTAACTTTTTCACCATTTTCCTTATAAAACAAAATCAATTTACGTATGTACTTTTTACCCTTGTGTTTAGCGCTTGTTTCATTTGTGCGTCAGCTTAGATACAATGGCGGATTGTTTACGTTCATTTTATAGTTGAGCATTTTCCAATTTTTTCCTTTAAATCTCTTCGAAAAAGTCCCAAAATGACTTAGCACTCTTTAAATAAGTAATTCACCCCTTCAACTTAACATTGATGGTACTTTGGATGGTTCCACCTTTTGCAGTGAGAGAAACTGAATTGCCGAGTTTCTGAGCTGGCTATGGCTGGCTCCTTGGTTTGTCCGTGTCCTTCGGTTTGATTTGTGATTTGTGCAACTTCCTTAATGGATAATCTTACTTATCAAAATACTCTTTGACTGTGCGTGGAGTGTAATTTTGTCTTGAGTCTTGACAGCATTAGCACCATGTGAATCAAAATTTCAATCAACTCCATTTTTGCCGCAGGGTAGGGATCCTTTAGCTATCCTACCGCTATCAGAGTGCTGTCGAGAAACTAATCACAACTGTCGGTATGTTCTGTTGAGCAGTTATGTAAATATAAAACGGTTGTATTTGTTAGTCAATTTCTTTTGTATGTGAGCAATAACTGAATGTCCAGAATTCCAAACATCTGACTGTATCTCAAGTATATGTCGGAAATATTTATCAAGGTCAGAGTTTGTGAATCCTTGGCAGCAGTTAATGAATTTCCCCTTAGTAACAACTTCGCTCAACAAAGTTTGGTAAGTAAGTACAGCTCAGATCCACCATCGTACACATATAATTACATATTAGTTTAAAATCAGTGCGAGTAATGTTTTGAGGGTAAAGTGTTCTCTATTCTCCAACATTTATTAGCAGGGGTGCGAATTGCGCGGAGGCTGAGAGGTACTTGTTATTTTTCTAGATTTTTCAGATTTGCAATTTTTGTGAAATACTTACTGTGACTGTGGCACACATTCTAAAATTAACAAGAAATTCCACAAAAGTTTGATCAGCGCGTTGTGCTGACCTTCTCGCGAGAACCTAGCCCGAAGCTGAAAATTGCAGAGGCATGAAACAATGTTCACTTTGGTTTGTGAGATTTTCTTATAAACTTGGCATCCTCCTATTTGTCCGACTTTTACCAAAATAATCTTGAAATTATCTCTCCCATCACCACATAGCCACAAAATTAGCATAAACATTCTTGATAAGAGGTGGCATAGTATCCAGAGACCCCTGAGAGTTTTGTATTAAATACTAATGATGCTCCTCTGGCAGAATTAAAAATTGACCATTCTAAACTACATACTCATATCAACAGCTCTTGCTGACAACAACCTGCTACCTTCATCAACTTAATCTAAAGTTTAGAATAATAGATAAGCCGCCAACTAATGTACTATCATTTCCATGCAAACAGTCAACCTTGTATTTATTGAGGAATGATAAATACAGTTTTTACTATGCCTTAGAGTTCTTACCATAATTCTTACCATTTGGAGTCAGGAAATAAAAATAATTGCTTCATTGTTTGCATTTTTATTGGCCAACTAAGTTCACAGTGGAACTTTCGTCTACTTGGTGTTAATGAAGGTAAATATTTATTCTTCTCTTATTTGGATGAGAATTACCTAGGTACATCAAATAGGTATGACATACTGTGACACTGGGTGCCGCTACTAGGTACTCTACTTATATTTCAACGATACTGGAAAAATTCATAACTCAGGTAAGGGCGTTATCTTGCAAGCTACAGAGCTAGTAATTAGTCATATTTCGATCCTTTGAGATTCTTTCATCATTCAGAAATAAAAAACTAAATTCAGCTGGAACAGGCACATTTCTAGGAAGGAATGTGACGGATCATTTATATCTAATTTATATCTCATCGTCATCTCACTTATCAAACAATGCTTCTCGTCCTCATCTTGTTCTAATCTTGTTGAGAGCAGGCGAAGATTTGAAATGCGCGCTACAGATTCGGTAGTCGCCTGGCAAAAGGGGTACCCGCCTGACGTCACAAAACTTCAAGATGGCAACAAAAATCAAACTGGGACAATGATCAAAGAAAAGGACTGTGGTGGTTACAAAGGAATACCTAAATGATCATTCATTTTTTCGAACCCTTATAATTTAAAAAAATTAAGTTGAAGTGAAGTACGTATTTGGAGACTTTACACTTTACTGGGAGAACATCCAATGCCCAGCATGAGCATTGGAAACGTCATTCGTGAACTCAAAATGACCGACTTGTTCCAACTCAAATCCTTTTAGTTTGGTTTGAGGTTATGTTCTATTGTTTTGAACCAAACGATACATCGAACCGGTATCGAATACGGTCTATGATAGACAGTCACAAATCGTCACCTCCCGGCCGAAGTATCACAAGCGCCATGCGACGTTTCAAAATTTTTGCCACCATTTGATTTTTTTACAGGTTGTTTTGGTTGTATTTGTTTGAAAATTTCACTGAATTTTTTCGGCAGCACAAAGAAAATTTAGTGAACTTTTCGGACAGCTTCGGCCAACAATTTCTCTGTATTAAATGAAATGGCGGCGGACATTTTGAAACGTCGCATGACGCTTGTGATACTTCAGCCGGAAGGTGAAAAAATTACTTTCGTCGAGAATCTCCGAAAAGAAAATTTAGCAACGTGTACACATGGTTGTTTTTTCTCAGCACTTGTACCTATATAAATGGGTTCCTCCGTGCGAAGAAAAAGTTTTGCTTTCTTTCTATATTGATAAAGATAAAAGAGGGTGCTCCAGTTCCAGTTGTGTAAAGACACAAACGGGGGAAAAATCGCTGAAAATTTTTTTATAACGGAGTTCATGGATAATTATTTTAGTTGAAAATTAAGCCATGAGTTATAACATCAAATTTTCATAGTGACCGATTGAGATGCAAGCATGTAGAATAAAGCCATCGAATTATTATTTCGTTTCATCCTTCCTGCGTGTTAGGATAATTTTGCCCACCTTTGCTCTGAAATTGAGGGAAGGTTCACCTTCTTTGCTTCCTTCCGCAGGCAACCTCTTGTCTCAACATGAGAAAAGAGTTTTATTCGACAGTTCATCCATTTATTAGAGAACGGTTGCGATTTTCAAGAATATTTAATTGGAATTTGAAGAATGATTTAAACTTTTTCGATGTGAAACGAACAGTCGTTGATTTAAAAAAAGAGAGTTGTTAGATGAAATTTTGAAACTTTGCAATGCAGTTGTCAAACCCTCTAGCCCTAGGCTCTGATCCCTTCAAATCTCTCTAGGTCCACGAGAGAAATAAATGAGAACCTTTAATGATTTTTCTTTCTTTCATTCATAGCTTTCAGAAACGTTATGATTGGCAACTGAAGTTGAACCCCGCAGTCATAACTCTGAGCTTATGTCTCATAATTACCAATAACAATCACTAGTAATAAACACATAAATCAAGAATTGTAATTAAATCCACATTCGCGGTGTCATCATAAACCGCGCGTGCACCTATCGGCGAATGTGGGCCGTTTATTTATGGGTCTTCCTACTGATCGCATTTATGTTAGAAACAACGCACGTGGATGAGATCGAGAGGAACTATGAAGCACGCGATCCTATGCGCATAGTTTATTCTTTTGATTTAATGCGTTTTCACGTAATGCCTTTCAGCATAAATACGTCCTACAGATCCGCTTGCAAAGGATTCTGCGACGAGTTTCCACACCTTTCCGCATTTGAATATCGTCCAAGCCGCAATTCCATGAAGGGATCCACAAATCAGGGAGTGTGGAATGGTGCCACAGTCGCCGACTGCCCCCAAGTACCACTCGATACCACACGCAGCGTCCTGGTTTATCAACTTCCTGGTTCTCATCTGCTGGAGAGGAGCCTTGTGTGACCATAATGACTCGAGTGCCGAAAATGATGGAACGACATGAATAAGTAAAAAGCGGTCAACGAATTTTTCACCCAGTGTCGAAACGATTTGAGGCTCATATGAGGGGCTTGGAAGACAAGACGCACAAGCGCAGTTTTTGAAAAAATTGAGGTATTTATGATTTCAAGTAACTACTCTTAACGAAACTTCTGATGAAAATTCGCTCCCGAATTCCAATTTTTAAGCTTCAAAATGTCAGTTTGGACTCTCTTTTCGCCATGAGGATCCTTTGTAATTTTGAAACTTCAAAGACGTATTTCTCGAAACGGCAAAAACTGCACTTAGGTATGCGCCTTGATCTCCAAGCTCCTCATATCGTCGTCCCTCTGACGCAGGGGCGTATCTCGATTTCCACGTGAGCCCTGGAGAGCATGGAGGTATATGGAAAACAGGGCTCACGTAGGAATTGAGATACGCCCTTACGTCAGAGGAACGACGATATAATCATTTAAATGCGCTCTAGGGAGAAATCCTGAGCGTATCTAACTCCTAAATTATAAAAAGTGTATTTGATTTGAGATTTGCAGAAATTTGCTCGAAAATAAGTCGTTTCCCCTAAAAAATAACTAAAAAAGTTAGGCGTTGGTTACTTTGTCGGAAATGCTCGTTAAACTGCGTGTCTCATCTGACAAACAAACGACCATTAGCACGTCACTCAATTAGTCGTCGGTCAGCATTGGGTGCAGATCAGTGGCGTGGCGTGCTTTGCGATATATCGATTGTACTGCCATTTAAACCTATGTAGAAGGATCGATAATCAGGGTGTTCGCAGCGAACACCTTAATAATCGATTCCTCATCATTGGTTTAAATGGCAGTACAATCGATGTATCGCAAAGCACGCCACGCCACTGGTGCAGATTAGTGCTGCTCCCTGAAGGTATCTTTTGGACGGCCTGAATCTGCCTCTGGGCATACTCCAGAGTAAAATTAGGTAACTTACTTAAAGAACTCTTCACCAGGGGACTGTGAGAATTTTGGCTGAGGATTCGAGCCATTATTGAGCTTCATGAGATCCGGCGACCAGCAGTTAGGGGTGTTCCACTTGTTGCCGCAGTGACTCCACGGTGGTAGACTGCGGAACGCCGTGAAGAAGTAGTAGATGGAGTAAGCTATGATGACACTGTAGTACGAGGACATGAAGAATGACAATATTACACTCGAGAGACCAGCTCCTGCAAATAATAAAATTGAAAAATATGAAAATCAATCTCAAAATAAAATTGATCAATATTTGGTGATTTTTTCGTGCCAAGAAGAATAATAGTTCTTTAGAGGAAAAGTGATACAATCAGGTGCACAGCCATGACATCCCTCCTTATGTTGGTGGCCCATGCAGTTGAAATTTCTCTTTTTTCTAATTTCTCCTTCCCCCTACATCTGTCTCTCCTCTTTTACCCTCATTGAGAATTTGAGGATTATATGCGGGAAAAGTGAGGTAAGACCAAGTACCATTGCTGTACAGGGTGATCCCAAAAGTCTCGCACCCGTCTGTGGCCCCTAAGATTCTCGCCCCTTTTCAGGGTGATCCCCTTAGAATTTTGGAGGTGCCTGAAGTAGTTTTTTTCATCTAGGAGCAGGGCCGGATCAAGGGGGTGGCCACATGGCGGCAAAATGTAGGGGGCGGCAAATTTTGCAATCTTTTTGAATGTAGGTATCAAAAAAAGAGAGAGAAAAATCGGATTCAGGAAATAAATTACGAATGAGAAAAGACGACAAAATCTCTCATTTCTTGAGTGTGAAAGTATAGTAACTTCTAATTTTGTCGTCTTTCGGTGATGCAAGAGACAACACCGTTAATTAGTCGAGTTAAGAGAGAAACCAACCACGCAATTTGATCGAAACGGAGCGGTGCGGCGGTCGGCATGAAACGCATAGCGCCTACAAGACTGCATGAATACTTCACGCATTGCGCCAAACAGTGCGTGGTCAGCAGCGGTCAGCGTGAAACGCATAGCGCCTACAAGACTGCATGAATACTTCACGCATTGCGCCAACACAGTGCGGTCGGGCAGCGGCGGAAGTTATAATTATTAACCACGTTTATGTTTGTTTTTTCATAATTTTTTCGTTCGTTTTTTATAAATGGAAGGCCTTGTCCAAACAGGGGTGGATTTACGGAACTGAACTTTTGTTAGTGTTGACAGGGCTTTCACAAAAAATGTGGCCAACACGAGTAAACGCGTCTCATACACCCCTCCTCCACCTGGTGGTTTTTATAGATCGTATTCGACAGATCACACAGGTGAGATTATATTGATATCGACTGGTTCAAATATGTAACCACAGCCTCAAAAGTCAATTTGGAAATCTGAGGTAACGGGTCTTATGTGATCGAATTGTTTTTCTCTCGAGTACCAAATGGCAATGAAAAGTGAAATTGTTAGGAATTTTCTCATTTTCAGCTTTTCCGAATTAAGTCCTAAAATTTTTGTTTGAGGTTATGTTCTATTGTTTGGAACCAAACGATACATCGAACCACTGTCGAATACGATCTATTGATGTTTCAAAACGAATGAGAAGGGGGCGGAAAAATAAAGGCGGCCCATGGGCGGTAAGAAGGTGAATCCGGCCCTGTCTAGGAGTACCTACTCACAAAATTTCCCGTCTAAATTCGTTCAAAAGTTACAGGGGTGATGTTTGGTGCTGGTGGAGCCGGAATTTTAGCTCATCCTGTACGTTTGCCTAATCTGGACTGAGCAAAGTAAATAGAGTCTTGGTAAAGTTTACCATATTGGATATGGTGAATTTTAATTTTCGGTTTGGTAAATCGTCCCGGGATTTCGAGTGCCCCACTGCCCTCGTCCAGAAGTTCAAAATCAGTTCAGATACATCAGTTCAAATACAGTTCAAAATCAAGTAAACTTATGGCGAAACCTGTTGCACTATCAGTCTGATTCTGATTTGGGGACTGATTTGAGAAAAAGAAGGGTCACCCATGAACATACCCTTCATCCCAAGTAGCAGAGGTTGCAACAGCTTGCAACGAAATCGTTTGATTCTTGCAACTAATAGATTGATGTGCAGATTGCCTACTCTTTCCCCCGAAGGAGCTATCATTGTCGGAACTAGTTTCAATTAAGTTGAAACATGTTTCAACTTGAAAGTATCGCTGGTAGCCCAGCTTTAGATTTTAAACAACTTTGATGCAGCAATTTTGCAATCTCAGCGGGTTGCTACTTTGTCTTCCGATCAGATCGTCGAAAATCTGCACTTATCGACCAAGAGTTGACCGAAAGTTGCAACTTTGTTGCAACTAATAGCAACATTTTTTCAACATTTTGCAACTTTTACATTTAAAAATGCTACTTGGGATTGAATCTGACACAACATCAGAGCGGAAGACATCGTAATCTGAGCGGGCGCGGGGCGCAAGTCAATTGACTCTGAGACGCGCTCATATACGAATCAAACACGCGGTGAATTTTAAAAGGTGCTAATAGGTATGCTCCAGACGTCCATTTATATTGTCGTCGCTAATGAGAGTGAGTTCTCGTCACGAAGGATCTGTATCTGTATCGGATATTGTGCTGGACGTGACGTGACCTGACGCGACGCGACGTGGCCGGCTATTTGCATGGCAATCTAATCAGGAGCATCCGACCAGTGTTTTAATTAACGCTTGCTCGCGCTCTATTTGTTCGCGCTTTTGCATGGGCGTTTCCGAAAATGATTTGCAGGGCTCTGCAAAACCTTCTGCAATTATTTCCATGACGATTAGCAGATTCGACCTGAGCAGGGAAACTCTGTACATACAAAGCTGCGGAAAACGGTTCTGTAGGACATTCAGTCATCGACCCTCTCTTCTTGAGATGTTGGCGTAAGATATCGACGGTGAAACTACCAAACCACGTATCTCGTTTGCGGTGTTTAAAAATCTACGCTCTTATTTTATTTTTTTAAAGTAGACCAAATCAATATCATTCCTTGAAATTTTCACGGAATTTTCTCCGCACAAAGAGGAAAAATCACAGAAATTTTCAAGACTGGATGTTCAGTAGTTTTTCATTTAAAAATAAAGTATGACAGGAAGTCTGCGACGTCGCAAACCGAGATACGTGGTTTGGTAGTTTCACCGTCGATAATTGATAGTGCATAACAGCCCATACATTTTTTTCTAATTTTACTAAATTCGTTTCGCTCCTTCAATTTTTTATTTTTTCCGCCTTTGCTGCTCTGACATATTTTGGGATGCAGGGAAAAACTTACAAAGAAACCTCATACAAGGTGTGTGAGGGCGACGGGTGTGTTGCTGGGTGCTCAATGTTTGTTTTTATATCAGCAAGAGAAAATAGATCCTTAAAAATTCGATGATCAAGGCTTTACAAGAATGATTTGAAATTGAAGTTTTTTGCCCATTATTCAATAAAATTACGAAAGCGCTGACGCGTTTTTATTTTCGCTTATTCTGTGACATCCACGTGAAGCCTTCTTACCTTTGAAAAATGGACATAGTTTTGACAAGGCTCCAATAGGACCCCTTTTGGTGAACTGGCCAATGGCTAGTTCCATGTACATTAATGGCACTCCACACAAAAGCTGCATGATGAAGTATGGAACTAAAAACACTCCTGGAACATACAGAAAAAAATCACAAATTAATTTTACTACTTTCATTTACTTGAGCTTTACACTTGAGCTTTACTTTCAAGCTGAGAGAGGAATTATTCATCCCAAATTAATGGGAAAATCCTTATACTTAAAACAAGACCAAAAAGCAGTTCTTTAATACCTCTTTATTCAGAGAAATTTAAGGCAACTTCCAATTTTGGGACCATGTCAGGTGAATTGAACGGCAGACTGTTTTAGGTCGTTTCAAGACGCTCCTACCTTCAAACTTTCCTCAGTTGGAATCGCCGCCAAACGAGTAGGGATTTTAATGCATGCATTGTTGTAGGTATAAGCACGCTGCATGAGAGTGGACGCAATATAAGTTTAAAAGTAAAAACCATTCAAGTATTACAAAGTGCACTTTGTTCATACCTTTTTAATCTCATCTTTTGATTTAGTGAATCCTGAAATTTAAGGCGTTAAGCTATAACTTTTCGGTCAATCCCATAGTTACTTTCTCGCTCATTTCACCGTAGTCTTAAATCCTGACGGCGGAGGAAAGCGGGGGAGGGCGTTAATTTTTGATCATCCGAGGTTCGTTCAATAAGTGGTTGGGAGTTAGGAACTATAGGGAGATTCAGTTGCTACAACACTCGAGTGTCTTCATTCGCAATTCGCGACACCCAGCGAAGGTCATAGGTCTCAAGTTGACGCAAAGGTCAGAGCATTCTGTGCTCCGCTCTGGGCCATGCACACACACACGCACAACGTTGCCGGCTGTAAACCATATAACTTACCACTCTCAAGCTTGCTAGAAAGGCGTTACTTAATTCCTTTAATAGCATGGCGTGAGAGGAGTATAACACTGGAGAAAAAAACACATTGGATCTAGAGTCCAGACTCTTGAAAACATCGACAAGAAAAAATACGCTTGATTCAATCAGATTTTTGCTTAAATCAAGAACCAAGTCTCTTAATTTGAGCGGATTTCCTTTTGATTTAAGCAAAAATCTGATTGAATCAAGCGTATTTTTTCTTGTCGATGTTTTCAAGAGTCTGGACTCTAGATCCAATGAGTTTTTTTTTTTTTTTTCCAGTGAAGTAGATGAGTTTTTACACTTCATTCTCGACCATTCTGTCGTCTCGAGTGTCGTTTTAGTTAAAAAATGAAAGTCAAAACTACATATTTTGCAAGATACTGATACTGCACTTCAGACCTAACTCGATTTGCGATTTTTTCGCCCGAGTTAAAAGGCGTAAACTCCGTCAAGTTTCGATAGGTCGCACAGGGGCTAGACGCTTCCCACCCCGCCCGCCCGCCGTGTCTGGTAGTCGGTAATGCTCAGAAAAAACGTCGTATGAACATGCGAGCGTAGGCAAATAGTTCCTCATTACATACGGTTTTTTTTCGAATCACTCAAGACTTTCCACCGAGTATACTTTCGGAAATTTTTTCGCGAAATTTAATCCAGGCTGCTTGAAAATTTCAACGAAATATAATGCAAAAAATCCTCAGAAATCGGTTATGACACCGAGGTGAATTTAGCAACTTTCAAGTGCTCATACGTTGTTTCTCCTTAGCGTCGCAGAGGATGCAAGCCATTAGTAGACCGCGAAACCGTATTGTCTCCTGCACTGCACGGATGGCGCGACGCGACGGGTCCCTCGTGTTACACCCCCTCCCCCCTCCACCTCGCCGTTCCTACAATCCTAATCGCCCCACTTGCATTACGTGCAATCAGTCTAATAGCTACTTCGTGCCTTTTTATTATACCCTGCGCAGCTAATTTCAACGACTTGGCGTCTTTTCCTCTTTTGCCACTCGTTCCGTCGCTTCACTTATAAAATAGCGTAAGTGAGTTTTTAAATAACCCGCAAACCGCAAGGAAAGACGTGTAATGAGGCTCTATTAGCGGTATAGTTACGAGTTTTTTATAAGGAGAGCGACGATGTGCAACACTCCCCGATGTTAAGCACCTTTAAACTCGTTCTCGCTGCTTTACCTGGGAAGCGTGAACTTTTACACCTGTGACGTCACTTTGGGGAAAGGAGGGGAGGCCTCCTCTTTTTTCAATTGGCAATTTTCAGTAAGATCCACAACTGGTTCGTATCTTAACCTCTAATCCTAGCGGTAAATTGCGTGTGCGTCGCAATCAGTATAATAGGAATATTAACGCTTAAAGGATATTGCCCTCTGTCAGGGGTATCTGGTTGGTAAATTGGGGAATTCAGTCGGTAAACTGAGGATTCTAATCACAGCATTCACAAACATGTCAAAATAGATAGACGCGTCTCGTGTAATTATAACTATATCGCTAAAGGGGTCATTCTTAATTTACGCAACTCCAGATATTATCGGAGGAGTATTTGATGCCTCCGTGCCCTCTTAACAATCCGTTATACTGCTCTGATGAGCTCTCACATTGAAAACTAAAATAAACCGTTTATTTTCAAAATCACGTAAGCGCCAAAATTGGTACCTCACGCATTCCGGGGAGTTCAAATAGTTGTATCATTGCGCCGTGAGAATGCGACGGAAGATTAAAATGAAAATACCCTCCATACACGCTGGGCTTGCCGATTTCCTTTGACATTTTTGCAGTGGTGAATGCATAGCTGAAGTGCGCTCCAGCTAGAATTGTATTTAGCAAATGGGTGGTTTTTCTACGAGGATTAAAAATTAACGAATGTTACGGAATATTACAAAAGAATATGAACTATGCAAAACGAATATCCGGATATCGGAACTAAGCTGTTTTGAAAACGCCTTCAAAAGCGGCGTGATACCTCACGTATTCCGAGGAGTTCAAATAGTTGTTTCATTGCGCCGTAAGAATATGACGGATGATTAAAATGGAAATAGCCTTCATACACGCTGGGCTTGTCCGTAAAGGGAATAGATTCCGCTCCGCATTCATATCACCCGGGATTCTCGGATGCTATATGAACTCCGTCACAGAATTTCACTCCAAATTTTTTAATTAACGGTGTAATTTATGAGAGCAAATCGATACGTCCTCGACTGTCATTTGCTGGAGCCCTAAGACTCGAGTCTGTTAGATTAGGTCTAAGCGGAAATTCGACATACCTTGACCGTTTTACTCAGCAAATTTTTGAGGAATTTGCAAGAGAAAAAGAAGGGAAAAACTCCCAATTAACTGGACTGCCCCCGCGGAAACCAATTGCACCTATTTTTACCCGAAACAATGAAGGCGAGCCCGGAGTTTGCATATCCTCCGGTGAGTTTGCAACGGATTAATTGGGTAAAACTGGCGGAGGAAGGGCTGGAAGAAGGGAGCACTTAACCTCCATGATTTCTGCATGTAGCCTGTGGATAATTGACCGGGATTACTTTGCAGGGTCGAAACGCTCATGCTGCAACTATTTCAATGACTCAATTTAGGTTTCCCTTGAATATAAACCCCAAGGTCAGGGGGAACCCGGTGGCACACGGCTCAGCTCTGGCGAGGAAATTGAAAATGACACCAGAGAGGACAAAAGAATATCAAAAAGGCAATTTTTCCATCACACAATGCCTTTTTTTTTTCTTCTTCTTTTTTAATTTTAAATGTTTCTCTTCTCTTTCTGAATATTGATGGGACTTTTTTGCCGCTTACTGTGCGGTATCCTTGTGGCTTGAAGAATCTCTTGGGGTGATCTTAACTATCTACACTGGGAAAAAAACACATAGGATCTAGAATCAAGACTCTTGAAAACATTGAAAAGAAAAAATACTCTTAATTCGATCGGATTTTTGCTTGAATCAAAACGAAATCCGCTTTAATTAAGAGGCTTGGTTTTTTATTCAAGCTAGATTCTGATTGAATCAAGAGTACTTTTTTTGTCGATGTTTTAAGAGTCTGGACTCTAGATCCAATGTGTTTTTTTTTTTTTTTTTTTTTTTTTTTTTTTTTTTTTCAGTGTAATACTCAACCAGAACCATTTCTGACACACGTTTCCTGAGTTTGAGAGAAAAAGTCATTCGCAGAACCAGAATGCTGTTCTTATTTCGCATTCAAGTTTCTCCAGTTAACCCAATCGTCAATTCCTATGGAGCCAACCGTCATTATTTTTGTTTTTTATAAGACAACCGTCAACAAGTCTAACTGGACAAAAAGTCAGCGTACGCCGTACGGGGAAGTCAACCACGGTTCAGAGTTTCTCGCGAGCCGATCTCTTTTCTCAGATCTCCATAAGGTACGACGTTTTAAACTGTGCATTTTTAGGAGGCAAATCTGGTATCGCATTTAAACATTGAGCCCACGCTGTATAATTTTACGCGCCTTTTAAGAGACAGAAGATTTGTCATGTCGATTCTTGTGCATACTTTCAATACTAAACCGATGACAGCTAATCCTCGGTCGCGCTCTAAAAGCGCGTAAACTTATTTGGCGTTGATTCTAATAGGTATTTAATGGATTGAAAGATAGGATCAATAAATAAGCACCAAAATAACCGATTCTTCCTGGAACACGGTGAACACGTGTTGAATTCAGAAAATTAACTCATTAGTGAGAAATTCACGATGTTTGTGTCTACCGATTCAAACTTGCCCGAAAATTGGAATTTCAACTTGATGTTCGCTTTTCCCGCGGGTAAGAATTTTGCGTTTGCCGATTCTAAAAGGTGCTGCGAACGCTTTTGTCTCGCTTTGGAGTGAATTATCGTAATTTCCTGTTGAATGGAATCCCAGATAAAAACCAATGAGTGAAAAGAGGCCGTATGAGCCTCCAGGCGTTGTCAAACAGGGACGGATTTACCTACGTGCCGCCCATGGGCCACCTATATTTTGCCGCCCCCTTCTTATTCGTTATGAAACGTCAATAAAAACCATCAAGTGAACGTGCCGAAGGCGGAAGGGTGCCTAAGACGCGTTTACTCGTGTTGGGCAAATTTTTTGCGAAAGCCTTGTCAACACTACTAGCAAAAGTTCACGGAACTTTGCTCTATAGTTAAGCTCCGTAAACCTATCTCTGTGTGGACAAGGCTTTCCATTTATAAGAAATGAACGAAAAATTATGAAAGAACAAACATAAATGAGGTTTAATGATTTTAAATTCCACCGCCGCGCCGCGCTGACCGCACTGTATTTAGCGCAATGCGTGACGTATTCCTGCAGTCTTGTAGGCGCTACGCGTTTCACGCCGCGCCGACCGCTGCTGAACGCACTGTGTTTGACGCAATGCGTGAAGTATTCATGCAGTCTTGTAGGCGCTAATATGTGTTACATGCCGACAGCGCGCCGAGGGCTTCTCCTTTTCATCTCAAGTCCTCGTCATTGCTCTCTGCGCCGCGCCGCTCCAGGACGAATGGAGAATTTGCACGCAATTTTTTTATTGCTTCATCTGAAAGTGCCTAATGAGCTGAGTTCGCAATATTTTTCATAATTTTTTTCTGACATGGGAAATTGGAGAAAAATTGATTTGAAAGTGAGAAAATGCACCGCCTAGTGACGTCATCTGGCGGCATTTCCCATTTAAACACATGTATTTTCGCAGAATCGGTTATTTTGTCATATCTCCTCTAATAATTGCTCAATTTATGAATCAAGGGTATCTTCGTGTTCAGTTCACTCAGAGGATTCCACTTAAACAGGAAATTCGTCAAATTTCAGACCCTTGCAAATTCTCCATTGCGTGTTTGACTTCTCTCTTATAACTTGACTAATCAAAGGTGTTGTCTCTTGTATCACCGAAAGAAGACAAAATTAGAAATTACTATACTCTCAAGAAATGAGCGATTTTGTCGCCTTTTCTCGCTTGTAATTTTTATTCTGAATCCGATTCTTGTTTTTATACCTACATTTGAAAAAATTGCAAAATTTGCCGACATGGGCCGCGGCCCATGTGGCCACCCCCTAAATCCGGTCCTGTTGTCAAATTTCCTTTGATACAATAAAAGTTTCCTGGTAAACTTATGAATATTTTCTTTCCAAATTTTCAGATACTTTTGCTCGCAATTTCACCTAAAGTTCCTGAAAATTTCAAGGAAATATATTCATAACTTTCCTCAAAAAATGGACATTTTATCGAAGGAAATTTGGCAACTCTCGAATGTTCATACGGCGTTCCTCCTTAACACGGCAGTATACAGGTATTAGGTGCATAGTAATGCCATTTTTAGTAGTCCATTGACAGGAGTTAAAACTTTTTTTCATTCGTAGCTTGAAAATTCACGATCCTCAGAAATCCTTCACTGAGAAGGTACCAAACCGGCGGGCGTTTATAACCTGGAGAGAGACAGTAAATTTCAAAGCGAGCTCATGCATTCGGCGAGCCTCAACCTGACTTTGTAGTCACAAGTCGGTACTCCTATCTCGACGCTTGAGACGTTAGATTTATCGAAGTCATGTCCATTCAGCTGTCTAGGCTCCGAGCTGTTCGACGTTGCCGGATGGAGGGCAAAATCGCTGTAGGATTCTAAAGTTTTTCATTTGTCTACGCCTAAGATTTTTGGGGAGAATGCGATCTGACATCCATGCCTTTAAGATTAAGGGAGAAAGTCCTCGCAATAAAACCGTGCGAAAGTTTCCCTTTTTAAGGTATTAGATTCAAAGAAGTGCCTACGACCACGAAACAGGTGAGCTCTTGGAGAGTTTTAAGATACCTAACTAGCATCCAAATTTCAAGGAAGAAGAGTTCGAATGTCATTATGGAATTGGACCGTCACCAGACAAGGTAAAAAATTAAGCACTACGACATATGTTTTCTCATCCTCGTGGAATACGGTGGGCACATTAAAATTTTTCGAAATTAACTCATAAAATAGGAGAAACATTTCGTGTAAATTAGTTCGAACTTCCCTTTCACAACAAAAGTCTATACTGCTGTAAAATCGAGCTCTGAGCTACTTTCAGTAAGTTTTCATGCGGACGCATTCTTTCAGTGAGCTGAATTTTTCTTGATGAATCGCAAATTCTGCGAAGTAAATGATAAAAACATTTTCCAATATTTTGGGAGGGAAATATTTCGTCCACACGTGGTCCCAACGCCATCCCCCCCCCCCCCAAAAAAAAGAAAAACTTTAACCACAAAACAACTGCATTATACTACAAAAGGAGATAAGCATTCAATAGGTATCTTGGCAGGTGAACGCAATTTGGCGGTAGGGAAGGCGCTTGGATGCAACTATTCGTGATTAAGGGTTATGAGTGTTGCGCGTTTAAAAATATGAAGGCGCTCTGCGCTCTGCCTTTTTCCGCCGGAGTTTGGAGCGCCGCGTCAAACGTTACTGATAGTAGGTGGTGATGCTATAGCTATGACCTGTAAAGAACATTTTGACACATTGAAGTTTTGTACCATAAGAGAGGAACGCCGTATAAATGTTGCCACATTTTTTTTGATACCTATATATCTTCAAAGAAAATCATAAATTTTCCAGAAAATTCGTGTTTTATCAGAAAAAATGGGCTAAGTCCGAAGATTCATACGGAGTTTTTCCTCAGCGCAATACCGAGCGTCTCTTACCCAATGGAAAAACACTTAGGCCACCTAATATAGACTCTATGCCTACATCATGAATCTTTGCTCCAAATTATTCATAAAATGCAAAGAAATTAATCTCAATTCATATTGAGAGAAACCAAGTTTATAACTTGATATATCTGCACTCTCACTTTTCTCTCTCTTAAACTTCGCTCCGAAAAGGCATGAATCTGAATCAAACATCCTTTGGGGTTAGAATATTTGATGCTCTCGTTGCTGTATTTGGCAACGCACTGGAATCTACCTAGTTGGAGCATGATGAGGCTGATTTACGAGATGAAAAGGTTTCGTTGGTCGCGCGAAGCGCAATGACCCATGTGAGACGCATCTCCGCTTAATAAAAATGTTTTCACTGTGTAAGGACTTGACAGTACAATTTTATGGGTTCACGAAAAGGCTCATGACCCTTTCGATGTCCCTCCCTCAAATGAAATTTCTTTCGTGCATAGCTACGTGTATTTGTTAGCCACTTTCGTGGAAGATGGCCATTCTGGTGTAAGAGAGTAGGCAAGATTGGACATTTTTTTTCCAGGGGAACGGAACGGGAATTTCGATGCTGAAATACACGGATCGACAATTTTTGCCAATTTTTGGTTGAAAAAAGTTATGATTTTGGGGCAAATAAGTTGGACGAGGAGGACATCACGCTCTCATTATTAAGGTCCGGGGATTTAGGGAGAGTTCAGACGTGTCAAAATAAGCCCCAAAAAGGCAGCCAACCTTCTAACACAACAAATGTCGCTGCAGATCTTCAAATTCCAACATCAAACCAAGATGGCCGAGAATGTTCATAAATGAGCGTCCTACCGGAAAAACGAGTAAAATGCAAAAACTAAGTCACATACGCGCTTCACAAACGACGGGTCGCAACAATAGTATAATCACTCTGGATAATTTGAATTCATAGTTTGGCAGCCCTTTTGGGCCCTTAAAGCTCTATGAAATACCATCAAAATTATCGATATATATCCGTGCTCCCCCTGAACAGGCACTCTAGCTGTAATATACGAGACCAAAGTTTGGTCTCTTATCCCTAAAAATAGAGGACGCTTCTCTACCGATTCGGGTATTTTCTCTTCAGGACAACATTTTGGAAACATGCTCTTACGGGTAATATTGGACCGCGTTCAACAGAAAGGAACCTAGCCACATCTGCTATTGCTAAATAATAACTGGGCGACTAAATCATTTACGAGAGAACGTTTATATAGATTCCGTTGAAAATTGTAAGGAATTTGCTTCTTACTAAGGAGTAAATTCACTGAAATTAGCACGAAAATCCGCACGACCAGTTTCATGTAAAAAATTAAACCGCTCAATTAAATTTGGCAATAGCTGTTGTGGTTTGGTTCCTGTTTGTTTAACACGGTCCATATGGCAGTATGATGGGATGGTGATGGAAAAGTGGAGCTAGACTCACCGCCGCCGCTCTTGTAGCAGAGATAGGGGAACCTCCAGAGGCTGCCGAGGCCGACGGAGTAGCCGACGCATGCCAGGATAAATTGGAGTTTGGTGGCCCAGTGCTCCCTCTTACGGGGCCGCGGCTTGTAGTGCATCCCTGAGTCGGAACAGGAGCGCGAGTAGCTCGAGGACGAAGAGTACTCATCTTCGCTCAGGAACCTGCAATCATACACAAAAAAATTCTTTTCAGACACATTTCAGAGACCTTCGTACTTTCATCCTAATTGTAAGCAACCTGGCGACCCGATTTGCCATAGCAGAGATGTTAGGAACACCTTCGCATGGAGCTAAAGGATCTCCTGGACATCGTCCTTGATGGGGCGTATTTCTGCGCCCCAGCCCCCCATACCACTTGATACGGCTATAAGGTACGGATTTTCCGTGAAAAGGTACGGAAATTTTCGTGATGAACTCTTAAAAGTAGCCTTGGGGGTATACAATTTCCGGACACAATCCATTTAGCAAGTTCCTGGTTCGATTCTTCGTGTTTTTCGGTTTATCCCTTTGTCATTCCAGCATCCCAATTTCCCAATCCGAATTCTGTCAAAAATGCGCATGAGGTAAGGAAAAGGTTAGGAAAAAACAAGGATTTTTGAGAATCGCCAAAGAGAAGAATTTTCGGGAAAGCAAGGAATTTTAATGACAGGGTACCAGTGGACACCTTGGAGGACCCTCTGTCCCTTTCACCACCGAAAAAGTTTCTAGTTTCGCCTATGCCTACACCTCACTTTCTCGTGCCGGAAAATCAAAGGCTCATGAGAAAATTTTCGTAGGTACCGTACCTATTCCAAACATAAACGTAATGTTTAGCCTTTAAGATTGAGTTTAATGTAGTAGTATTAACTTTTTGAATCTATCCTTTGCTTTAACTTGATGCAAGTTGTTCTCTCCTTGCAGCATTCATACAGCTTAAACTTTGTGACTTTAGAAACATGATGTTATTTAAACCAATTTATAAACCGAAGCCGTCAAAACATTTTTGAGAAGTTTTCCATTCATAATCTTGTAAATTTGTGTTTCTTCGAATCGATTTTACTAATCCCTTACTATTGAGCACTATGCGGGCACTGACTGATTTGTCGGAATAAATCTGTCGGTCATGTTTAATTGAATGGCGAGACTTTGCACGCAAGATTATAATTAGTCGAAACGCATTGGCACTTAAGGCGACGCAGCGCCATAGCGGTAAAAGGAACAATCGCTCATGTTCTTGCGCGGCGTGGCAGAACGAAAGAGTTCACAGTGATAAAATCGCACTTTTACTTTAAACGAGTACCCAATGTTTCTAATGCCTTCACATTTTCAAGGTATCCGCGCCGCGCTGACTCGCCTGGCCTTACGGACGATGCGGACCAACAATGGTTGCTCTCAAACGGCTTGCCATGGCCGTTGAAATGTTTGCCCCCGATAAATATTAACCGAGAGTTAATAGGTTTATAGCTAATCGAGAAGAAAAAATACGCTTTCGTTATCCCGTGCCGTGCGATAGCCTTTGAAGTATCCAAAATGAAAACTGTTAACTCCTCGACTTTTGATTTCGTTAAGTTCTGAACCAATGATTTACCCAATTTTGAAGTTGAATCCACGGCTTGAAAGCATAAACTCATGTATATTTTATTTTCATTTGACGGGATCTAACCTTAAATTAAAATTTACTGGCACGCGCAGCTAACCCGTATCGGCTAATACTTATCTATTTGGAATAATTAAGAAAAGTGATTTTATCCTAATTTAGTGATTTTATTTATTTTATCTTAATTGGATGCGAGTAAGCATCAAACTGAGCGTATCCAATCAAAACTTTTGGGAAAGAGACCCTTGGACAATGGCTTGGCTGGCATTGAGGGCACCCTATCAGTCCACGACTGACTTGGTGGTGATGTTTCCTGACTAAAAAAGAGACCATTGACAAAAAAGAGGGTATTAAAACAAACAAAAAAATACCCATTTTCTCCGACTTATTCTAAGAAGAACACGGAAAAGAATGAGAAAATAAATTATAACAACATGAGATTACAAACATAACTATTGCGCCTTTCATTTTAGAGGTGGGCAAGAACACGTCCAGGCCTTGCACAATCCACCAATATTTCTTTTCGGGGATTTCCTCAGAGTAAAAGCCAAGTGATTTCTGATTTTGTCGTCTTTCGGTGATACAAGAGACAACACCTTTAATTAGTCGAGTTAAGAGAGAAACCAAACACGCAATTTGACCTGGAACGGAGCGGCGCAGCGGTTGGCATGAAACGCATAGCGCCTACAAGACTGCATGAATACTTCACGCGTTGCGTCAAACACACTGCGGTCGGCTTGAAACGCATAGCGCCTACATGACTGCATGAATACTTCACGCATTGCGCCAAACAGTGTGGTCAGCAACGGTCGGCGTGAAACGCATAGCGCCTACAAGACCTCATGAATACTTCACGCATTGCTCCAACATAGTGCGGTTGGTGCGGCGGCGGCGGCGGCGGAAGGTAAAATTATTAACCACATTTATGTTTGTTCTTTCATACTTTGTTCGTTCGTTTTTTTTTTTAAATGGAAGGCCTTGTCCAAAGAGGGATGGTTTTACGGAACTGAACTTTTGTCAGTGTTGACAGGGCTTTCACAAAAAATGTGCCCAACACAAGTAAACGCGTCTCGTACACCCCTCCCCCTCCCCACCGGCACGTTCACTTGATGGTTTTGTAGATCGTGTTCGACAGATCACACAGGTGAGATTATATTGATATCGATTGATTCAATATGGAACCACAGCCTCAAAAGTCAATTTAGGAATCTGAGGTAGCGGGTCTTATGTGATCGAATTATTATTCTCTCGAGTACCACCCTTGTAGCAACGGTTCGTGAAAAACTCGTAAAAAAAATGTAAAGAACTTGTGAATTTCATTAACACATAAAAAACTCGTAAAAAAGTTGTAAAAGAAAGAAGTTTTTTACAAGTTTTCGTTTTTATGTAAGAAACTCGTAAAAAACTTGTAAATAACTCATAAAATTTACTTTTTATTTACAAGTCAGCTTTCAAAATTTTGACTCGTAAAAAACTTGTAAATAACTCATAAAATTTACTTTTTATTTACAAGTCAGTTTTCAAAATTTTGACTCGTAAAAAACTCGTAAAATACCTGTAAATAACTCATAAAATTTACTTTTTATTTACAAGTCAGTTTTCAAAATTTTGGCTTGTAAAAAACTTATAAAATACTCATAAACAACTAGTAAAATTTACGTTTCATTGAAGAGTCAATTTTTTAAACATCGACTTGAAAGAAATTCGTGAAACACTCATAAAATACTCATACAATTTAACTTTCATTTACAAGGCAACATCTGAAATTTCGACGTGTAAAAAATTTGTCATACATTCATAAAGAACTCTTAAAATTCATTTTCATTTACGAGTCAGTACCTGAATCGTAAAAAACTCTTGCTGAACAGAAAAGAAATTGAAAAATTCACCTTATTCTCTTTAGGGGTGAATTTCCCAAATTTTGACTCATAAGAAATTTGTAACTAACTCAAGAAAATAAACTGGTAAAATTTATTAGCGAAAGAGTGTATTATATGCATGTGTAACAATTGATGTATTGAACAAAAGAATTTCCAAAATTTTGGCTTCAAAAGCGCGTACACAAAACAACCACACATGAAACAGGCAAGATACTTCAGGGGGCAGAATTATATTTGGTGAGAATTAGGTTACTCACCGGGATGAAAGGTTTCATTTGTCAATGCGCAATTTTATTATTGTAGATGTTACGGGTGCATTATGACAGCAATAAAAGTTCACTTGAATCTGATTTCCTATTCACTTTTCACAACCAGAATTCGGTGAATATTTAATAGCCAGTCATATTGGAAAGGATTTTGGGTATGGTGAAAAATATTTTGCCAGTGTATATAGTTACCACACTGGAAAGCCATTGAAACTACAGTGGATTAACATCCATTTCTAATCGTACCGTTTCAAAATTTGGTAAAAAAGAAAAAAAATGTACTAACTTTAAAGATTCTCATGAACACAATGCACATGTGCAGCTGTGTCTGCAACCTGATTCAGAAAATTTGACATCAATATCATCGATAGGTTATATCGATGATTTCCCTGCCTTTGTCGATGTTGAAATAAACATTCACCATTGTTGGTTTGACCAATTTAGAACACATTAACGGACAAGTTATCTTCACTTCTACATGGACTAGACGAATCAGGATGATTACTGCTAGAAATAAGCTGTGAAGAGATTGCACTTTTTCCATTTTCAGTTTCCAAGTTAGGTCAGGTTGGAGGTTTATAGCTATACATTAATTAATAAAATCTTCAAGCTTCAAGCTTAAATCTGCAAGCTTTATTTCACAAGTTTCCATGTTTAAAATTGAAACGAAAACAAATTTTCTTTTGTAAGCTCCTATGTAAAGAAACTTCTATTTTACAAGTAGATTTGTATTCAAAACCTTGTGAAGTGAAGATGCGCAAAGCCCGTATCATACAATCAGAGCTCTCAAAGTGGCACGTGGGATCATGTGACACTCAGATCGAGATCCCTCAATGATAATTTTGTCAGGCATATGATCTGCGGGGGTCACGTGACGCCATTTGAGAGGTCTACTTTGATTGTCTGATACGGGCTCAACACATAAAGAACTCGTAAAAAACTCGCCAAAAAATATCGTTGACGAATTTGGAATCATTTCACGAGTTTTTTACGTAAAAAACTTTTGGATAAGTACTTAACCCGTAAAAAATAATTTTCAGTGGCAGCTAGCACTATTATCTAACATGAGTTTCTCACTTATTTTTCATAAGCTTTTTACGTAAAAAACTCGTGAAATGATTCCCAATTCGTCAACTGGGAACTTTTTTTTACGAGTTCTTTACGAGTTCTGTATATGTTGCGCATCTTCATTTCACAATGTTTTCAATTTTTTTTACAAGTTTTTCACGATCCGTTGCTACAAGGGCAGGGGGCAATGAAAAGTGAAATAGTTGGGAATTTTCTCATTTTCAGCTTTTCCAAATTAAATCCTAAAATTTTTGTTTGAGGTTATAACCGAAAAAAGAGTGATGACTGTTACTCCCTCATACAAATTGTCCATAAGGAAGTGTTAATCCCCGAGAGTAAAAGCTCCCACCTGTCGCCAAGAGGCCAGTGGAA